AGCGTTTGTCCGCGGCCGTTTGTGCTCGAGCGGCCGGCCGCCAACATGTGACTGCGCCTCATCGCGAGGCGCACTATTTGCCATCGAGACCGAAAACAGCTTCGCTTGACATGGCCCGTCGCTCCCGCGACGATCTCCTAGTTCTGGGACTATCGTTACTACGGTACAACAGAGTTGGATATGGGCTTCGCCTCAGGCGAAATGTATGGTTGGGCTTCCCAACCCCCTTTCAAACTCTTGGAGGCCATCTTGGGCACTCTTGGGCTGTCTTGGATGCCATCATGGACCATCTGGGGCGAACTTGGAGGCCTGTCTTGGAGGCTCCTTGGGCGGTCAGGAGGTCATTTTGGAGGCCTTTGGGGCCATCTTGTGGCGATCTCGTGGGTCGTCTTGGGATGTCGGAGGGCCGAAGAGAAACACATGCCAAAGTCCTTCAAAAACAAGGGGAACACCAATGATTTTGGCCTCTTCGGGCCCTCCTGGAGAAAGTCTTGGGAGCGGCTTGGGGGACTCTTGGGCCGTCTTGGGCCATCTTAGAGGCTTGTTGGACGGACTGAAAGACACCTTGGGGCGTCTTGGGCCGTCTTGGTGGCTTGTTCGGCGGACTTGGCGGCAAGTCGGACCATCTTGGGCCATGCTGGAGGCCATCTTGGGACAATGTGACCGTCTTAGATGCCATCTCGAACGTTTTGGATTTTTTTGTGTGCGCGTTGTGCTCGTTTCTGGGCCGTCCAGGCGGCCAGCGCGCGCTGGGCCGAAGCCCCGGGGGGACTTCTTTCAAAAAACCATTACCAAACCAGTATGACCCAGCACGCCGGGCACCCAGATCTAAGGCGCCTACGGCGAATCACCGCCGCCCTCTGCCTTTTTGGAAGCGCCTATGTGGCCGAACGTTGAGACCAGACCTGCCAAGCTATCGGACTATGTGTTCCCCGAATCGGTTTGGAAAGCCTTCGGGGAACACGTGGGCATCTTGAAAGTCATCTTGGCCGCCTGGAGGCCATTTTGACCCTTTCGGGCCTTCTCGGAGGACGTCTTGGAGGGCTCTTGGGCCGTCTTGAAGGCCATCTTGAGCGTCTTGGAGGCCTCTTTGGCCGTCTTGGGGGCCTCTTGGGGCCGTCGTGGGCCTCTTGGGCGTTTTTTGGGGGCACTTGGGCCGCCTCGGGCCGTCGGAAGGCCGACAAAAAAAGCAAATGCCACAATCCTTTAAGAACTCATGGGGAATCAATGATTTTGGCCTTTTCGGCCCTTCCTGGAGGCCCTCTTGGAAGCCTCTTGGGCCGTCTTGGGCCATCTTAGGGCCATCTTCGGCCGTTTTGGTGGGCTTCTGGCCCGTCCGACGCCGTCGGAAGCCGTTTGGGGGACCCTTCTGGGCCGACTTGGGGCCCTCTTGGAATGCTCCAGGGCCGTCTTGGAGGCCATCTTGGGCGTCTTAACAGCCTCCTGGGCCGTCTTGGGAGCCTCTTGGGGCCGTCATGGGAGCCTCTTGGGCCGTTCTGGGGCCATCTTGGTGGCCTCTTGGGCGATCTTTGGGCGATCTTTGGGGGCTCTTGGGGCGTATCGGGCTTTCGGATGGCCGAAAAGAAGCAAATGTCAAAATCTTTCAATAACCTTTGGAACATCAATGTTTTTTTGCATTTTCTGGCCATCCTGGAGGCCCTCTTGGAGGCCTCTTGGGCCGTCTTGGGCCAGCTTCGAGCCAACTTCGGCCACCTTGGTGGGCTCCTAGCCCGTCTGACGCCGTCGGAAGCCGTTTGGGGGGCCTCTCTGGGCCGACTTGGGGCCCTCTTGGGGTGCTCCGGGGCCGTCTTACAGGACATCTTGGGCATCTTGGAGGCCTCTTGGGTCGTCTTGGTGCCCCCTTGGGGCCGTCTTGGGGGCCTCTTGGGCAGTCCTGAGGCCATCTCGGAGGCCTCTTGGGCGCTGTGGGGGTGATCTTGGGGGCCTCTTGGGCCGTCTTGGGTCGTCGGAAAGCCGAAAAGGAGTCGGAAAGCCGAAAAGGAGCAAATACGAAAAACATTTAAACACCTAAGGAAAAAATGATTTTGGCCTCTTCGGGCCCTCCTGGAGGACCTCTCGGAGGCCTCCTGGGCCGTCTTGGAGGCCTCTTGGGCACTTTTTGGGCCGTCTTGGGCCGTCTTGGAGGTTTCTTGGGCGGACTTGGAGGCATCTCCTCCTCTCTTGGGCGGACTTGGAGGCCATCTTGGACCATCTTGGAGGCCATCTTGGGCCATCTTGGCCGTCTTGGAGGCCATCTTGGCCGTCTTGGAGGCCTCTTGGGTCGTCTTGGGGCCGTCTTGGGGGCCTCTTGGGCCGTCATGGGGCCTTCTTGGAGGCCTCGTGGGCGATCTTGGGGCGATTTTTGGGGCCTCTTGGGCCGTCTTGAGCCGTCGGAATGCCGAGAAGAAGCAAATGCCCAAATCCTTCAAAAACTTAAAGAAAATCAATGATTTTGGCCTCATCGGGCCCTCCTGGAGGACCTCTTGGAGGCCTCTTGGGCCGTCTTGGGCCGTCTTGGAGGCCTCCTGGGGGCCTCTTAGGCTGTCTTGGGCCATCTTGAGGCTATCTTAGGCCGTCTTGGGTGCATCTTGGGCCGTCTTGGAGGCGTCTTGAGGCCATCTTAGCCGTCTTGGAGGCCATCTTGGCCGTCTTGGAGGCATCTTGGAGGCCATCCTGAGCCATCTTGAGCGAAGAAACCGACGAGATGGGCACCCTGGCGGGACGCGCCGGAGGCCCAGGGGGAGTTCTTTTGGAAAAAGAACCAAAACTAAAACCGTAATAGTTTGGCACGCCAGGCACCCCTGCGATGAATCGACAGGGGGCGGCGGATGACGGAAAGAGCGTTCACGCGGTTCCGTTCTTGGTAGGGCGTCAGCCCAAGGGGGGGGGCTGTCCAGGGGGGGGGGGCGGCCGGTCGAAAAGTCTAATAGCTTCTGCGGGGGCCCAAAACGGTCCCCGATACCCGTAAGACGGCCCAAGAGGGCCCCAGAGCGCTCCAAGACGGCCTCAGTTCGCTCCACGACAGTCCAAGAAACCCCCGAGACGCCCTAAGATGGCTCAAAGGCGGTCAAAGAGGCCCCAAAGACGCTCCAAGTAGCCTCAAGGAGGCTTTCCAATAGAGCCCGAGGAGACAACATTCTATTGTTTTTGGGGTGTTTTTTTGCAAGTTTTTTGGGTTTTCGTTTTTTCTGGCCAAGAGCGGCCGAAAGCAGCCTCAGAGGCTCCACAGATCGTCCCAAGACGGCCGAAGAGGTCCCCGGAAGGGTCCGAAAGTTACCAAAGAGGGCCCCAAGACTGGCCAAGAGGGTCCCCAAACGGTCCGACAGGGTCTGCAGACGGCCCCACGAGAGCACCAAGAGAGCCCCAGGAGGCTCCTAAGAGGGCTCCAAGAGGCCGCCAAGAGAGCCCCAAGACGACCACAGGCCTCGAAGAGGCCCCAAGACGTCCCAGAAGGTCCCAAGACGGCTCAAGAGGACCCCAAGACAGTCCAGCCCCAAGAGGACGGCCCAGAAGACCCAGGGACGCCAAATAAAGAGTGATCGGTAACGCAGAAAGCTCTCCACGCCAAGGCTCCCAACGGCGAAAGCGGGGAGAGACGGATTTATCCCGATACCGGTAAGACGGCCCAAGAGGGCCCTCTCTTGGCGGCCTCTAGGGGCTCTCTTGGCGGCCTCTAGGGGCTCTCTTGGGAGGCTCGCGGTGCTCTCTTGGGCCTCTCTTGGTGTTGTCTTGGGGCCCTCTCTGGCCGTCTCGGGGGCCTCTTGGCCAGCCCCCAAAAGGCCTCCAAGAGGTCCACTCCCAAGAGGCCGAGGCAGAAGGGGGAGGGAAAGGGAGGATGGATGGGGAATGAGGCAGAGTGGGAGAAGGAGGAGGAATAGGAGGAGGAGGAGGAGGAGGAGGAGGTGGAGGAAGAGGAGGAGGAGGAGGAGGAGGAGGAGGAGGGGAGGAGGAGGGGGAGGAGGAGGAAGGAGAGGAGGAGAGGAGGAGGTGGAGGAGGAGGAGGAGGAGGAGGAGGAGGAGGAGGAGGAGGAGGAGGAGGTGACAAGTCGTTCAACGCCACGGCTCTCAAGAGCGAAGGGTAACGCGAACAAGCTCTTAACGCCAAGGCTCCCGCTAAGAACGATGACGTAACGAGCTTCGAACGCCAAGGTTGCGATTACGCACAGTGTTGTGAGACATCGCTTCCAGCGCCAAGGCTGTGATTACGCACAGTGGCGCGAGCTGTCGCGGGCAAGTTCTTGAAGCGCTCTTTCCGTTCCCGTGCCGGCCCAGGTCTAGTGTCTAGTGGCCTTCGGCCCATTCCGCCACCGTGCCGTGGTCGTGAGTCAGATTCCTCTCGCTGGAAGCCTCTTGGGGCTTTGGGAGCCCTCTTGGGGGCCTGGAGGCCTATTAAGGGCCTCTTCTTGGCGGTCTCGGGGGATGCGTGGTGCAAGCTGTAAGGTGCAAGTTATGTAGTGCAATCTTAGCGGTACAAGATATGTGGAGGAAGCCGTGTCGTGCGCTGTTGGTGGTGCAAGCAGTGTGGTGCAAGCTACGTTAGCGACGACGAGGCGCCCACGGGCGGCGATCGACCGAAAACCCGAGGAACCCAGACAGCGCGCGAGGTGCCCACGGGGCGCCCACGGGCGGCGACTGGGCGAAAACCCGGAGGCCCGTGCCGGCGCACGAGGCGCCCCAGGTGCGCCAGCGGGCAGGGACAGGGGTTAAGTCGGGCCTGTCCCTCTACAGGATGAGTATTGGAAAGTAGTCAAGAAATAGTCTGGGGACGATTTTTCGATTATCTTTTGAGCATTTTTTGGAATATTGTTCACTGTTTCTGAACATTTTTTCACCCGAAGCCCGCCTGTCGGGGGACATACCCGACCTCAGTCAACAGGATGAAACCAGGAAGCCGATGCCAATCATTGAGAAAAGTTGTGAGAGCCTCTGGGTGCAAGCCCAGTTTCGAGAAGCAGCTGCTGCGCCAGCGGTGGCGTCGGCTGTCTTCAGTGCCCCCCCAGGCATGCCCCCCGAGCCCAGCGGTGGCGAGGCTACCGCAGATGGCGGGGAGGGTGGAGCCATCGCGGAGGACTCTGCACCCAGCGCTGGCGGCACGGCTGACGTCAAGGGCGCGCTAGACGTCGCGATGGCCGCCGACGCGGACGGGCTTACTGTGCTGCACGTATCCTGCCGGGACTTCAACAAGATGACGGGGCAGAAGGTGCAGAAGTGGCTCTCATGCAAGAGTCAGGCGACGCTGCACAAGGTATTCAAGCTGCCCAAGTGGATGTACGCCTTTGTTAGCGTGTCGCCAGACCAGGCTGAGCAGTTCAGGAAGGAAGTCGGCGGAGTAATGTACTCGAAGCATACCGTAACGGTCAAAGAAGGGCACCCCCGCGACGCGAACAGCAAGATGCCCCAGGACAAGCCAGAGGGTGAGCCTGCAGCGAAGCGTCAGAAGGTGAAGGACTTTCCAGATGGTTACGTGCCGACCCTGAAGGACCTGAAGGACCGCGTCGCCAAGCGGAAGGGCCCGGGCCAGGCTGGCGAGGAGTCTATCATTCAGAAGAGCGCGCCCCTGCTGTCGTGGCCGTACGAGACCCAGCTCAGCATGAAGGGGACCTACGTGAAGAGCGCGGTGCGTGCCTTCACGAAGGCGGTGAAGAAGCGCTGCGAGGACCGGGGCGAGGATGCGCCGCCGTGGACTTCGCCAGAGTGGTCGCACAACGCTGGCGCGCCCGTCGGTTGTGGCTGCCCGCTCGACGACGCGATTGGGACCCCGGCCGCTGCACTGCAGGGCTACCGCAACAAGTGCGAGTTCACGATCGGAAACACGGCAGACGGGCAGGCCGAGGTCGGGTTCGTCCTCCGGGCCGCCGCAGACGGGGACCAGGTGATTGCCAGCCCCGAGGAGATCCCGCACGTGCCGGAGGTGATGAAGCGCATGTGCGCGGCGCTGCGCGCCTGCGTGCGGCGCTCTGGGCTGCCCGTGTTCGACAGGCGCAGGGGCGTGAAGGCCGGGGTCTGGCGAACGGTCATGGCCCGCCTGTCGCCCACGGGGGACATGCTGTTGCTGGTCCAGACGGCCACGCTGGCCGAGGAGACGCGGCAGAAAGTGGAGCGGCTACTGCTGGAGGACCTGAGGCCCGAAGGGTGCCCAGACCAGTTCGGAGTGGTGTCGATCTACCTCCAGTTCAACGACGAGGTGACCGACGCCGCCAGACCAGACGTACCACTGCTGCACGTGCACGGACAGCAGCGGCTCCAGATGCCACTGCTCGGCCTGAAGTTCGACTTGGGCCCTCTCTCGTTCTTCCAGGCAAACAGCGCCACATGTGAGTCCCTGTACGGGAAGGCCATCGAGTGGCTGCGACCGAGTGGAGCCCTCATGCTGGACGTCTGCTGCGGCGTCGGCACCATCGGCCTCTGCGCCGCGAGCCAGTCGCTCAGGGTGATCGGCGTGGAGCTCGTGCCGGAGGCGGTGGAGTCGGCCAGGCGGAATGCCAGGCTGACGGACGGCACAACCCACCCCAACCCCAACCCCCAGCCATGACCCCCACTCCCGACTTGGTGATCCAGGGGTTCCTGGCTGTGTGTGTGTGTGTTTTTCTGGGGTTCCTGGGGGCCCAAAAGCCACCCTCCCCCCCCAGCCAGGACCCCTGGACTACCAGTTCGGAAGTGGGGGCCAGGGGGTGGGTTATGCTGTCCTCAAGGCTGAACGGGATCGAGAACGCTGAGTTCATCGCTGGCAAGGCGCCCCAGAGTGCCGCTCCCCACTCGTGCGCCCGAGCTCTGGTCAGCTCCAGAGAGGTCCATTCCGTCGAGTCATCGTAGTAGGATAGACCCCCCTCGCCTGCGGGAAGGCCAGCGGAGGGCACGCGCAAGCGGGGGCGGAGAACGGCTGGAGGCGGGCCTGCCGGCAGAAGTCGAATAATAAAGAACGGCGTAAGCACAATCTCTCGGAGCTGCGCGCGGATTTCTTGGATCGGCACCAGGCCCCCCTGGCGGCGCCTCCGGCGCCGCCCCTGGCGCGCTCCGCGCGCCAGGGAGGGGGGTCCAGCGCGGATGCAAGAAATCCGCGCGCAACTCGAAAGGTTCATGTTTACGTTGGTTCTTCGTCCTCTAGGAAGGGCGGCGGCCCGGCGGACGGCGGCGGAAGCGAGGGCCGACCCCCCCCCCACCCAATGGGAGACGTCATCGTCTGGGATCCCCGAGTGTGCCGGATACTGCCTGGGGAGCTCAGATTTCATGCTCTTCGTTTTTTAGACGGCATGCTTAGGAGTTGTATTTCTCCACGCGCACACACGTACGGTCAGGAATTTTGGCTTACCGTGTCGCGCCGCCCGTTCCGGCCCACCGCGCTTCGGCCCCACGCGCTATCCTTTTCTGGGTGCGCTATGGTCATCATCCTGAGCCTTTCGAGGCCTCCCACCCCGCGGAGCGGAGCGACACGCTATCCGCTCGCGCGGCATAGCGTGTCGCCAGGGCCGCCGCCGCGACACGCTAAGCAACAGTTCGCGACCGTACCGCCACCGTGCAGGGATTGTAGGTCAGAGGCCTCTGGGATGCCTTTGGGGATCTCTTGGGGAGGCCTCTCGGACGCCTCTTGGATTTGGTCATGGGGCCTCTTGGGGGCCTCTCTGGGGCCTCTTGGTGGCCTCTTGGGGCCCGATCTGGGCCTTTTGGAGGCCTCCTGGAGTTGGTGGGGGGTCCCTTGGGGGCCTGTCCTGCCGGCGGTCTCGGGGGCCATCATTGGGGCGAAGGGCTCGACATGTCGGTTCGTCTTCCCCCTCTGGGGCCTCCCTTGAGCCTCTCTTGGGGACCTGCTGGGGTTGTGCTTCTCCTCGCGCACCTCTACCCAGGGATGCGCCCGCATGTCCGAGATCTCCAGAGCCCGCCCGAGATCGCTGCGGGGATCCTCGGGGGCGCGGCGTGCCCACAGGCCGAGTGGAGCTCGCACTCGCCAGGTCAGGCACCAACTCTGGTGAGGTGGTGCGCTCTTCTCCAGGGGACTCCCTGGGCGAGCTGATCGTGGCACGGATCTGGAGAGTCCACGGCTCTGGGGCTTTGGGCCTCCTCATCTTCCTCCTCCCTCCCTCCCGTTACTGATCCCTTCACAATTACACAATATGAATACTACTCTCCTCTCTCCCCTGGTGGCGTCCGGAGACTGTCCCGCCCCCCTCTGCATATTGGCTTTTGACACAGGATTCCCAGGAGTTTGTTTTTGTTTGTTTGCTCGTTTTTTTGTGTTGTTTTGTTCCCAACCATCCTGTGGTGTTGGGTCCTCGTTTTGAAGAGACAGCGCCCCGCGTCCTCCCTCCTCCTCCTCTCTCCTCCTCCCCCTCCTCCCTCCTCCCTCCTCCCTCCTCCCGTCCTCCGACGCATGAAGGACACATGGCGCAACAAACAATTTGGCATACAGATGGGTTTCACCGCAGACACCCTCCTCACCAACCTCCGTTTGGCAGACGACGTTGTATTGTGTGCGCCAAATTTGCGTCAGCTGACATGTTTCCTGCGCGACCTCAAGCTCCACTCGACACAATGTGGCCTTGAGTTACACCCAGACAAGACGAACATACTGACCAACGTCACCTGGCGACAAGGCAGAACTATCAAGGCCACTCACATCGAAGGTGATAGTGCCGAGATTTTGGACGCAACGCAGAGCACGAAGTATTTTGGGCAGGAAACTTACATACCATGACTTCCGCATCACGGAGCTCGACAACATAATCGCGTCGGGCTGGCGCCGATTCAACCAATTGGGACACGAATTGGCATGCAAACACTACCCTTTCGCAAGTCGCCTACGCCTCTTCAACGGGACCGTAACGCCCAGTGTCATGTACGGATGCAGCTCGTGGGCCCTAACCAAAGACATGCTTACATTACTACAGCGTACCCAGCGGAAGACGAGCCGAATCATCGTGGATACTGGCAGACGCCGCACACGAGGGAATCACTGGAACGACGACGAGAAAGACCTCCAACTTAGCAGCGACCAAAAGGAGGAAGGAGATGGAGCAGAGCGCGCAGAGCTTGAAGGAGACTTCGCCGAGAGCAACCCAGACAATGACGACAGCACTAACAACGACTTCGGCAACGACGGAAGCACTAAAAGCAGCGACAGCGACGACGAGGACGACGGCAGTACCAGCAGCAACGACGGCGACACCAACAGCAATGACGGATTAGAGCCATGGGTAGGGTTCATGCGACGAGCGACGTACACAGCCGATGCCCATGCCAGACGCGCGAATGTCGACGATTGGGCTTCGCACTACTTTAAATCAAAGTGGACATGGCCAAGCGGGTTGCCAATTTACCCGCCGACCGCTGGGCGCGACGCGCCGCCGCTTGGCAACCTCCGCTGCACGACAGAAGACCTGCACAACGAAAACCAGGCGGACAGCGGCAGCGTTGGGACCACGAGAGCGTCAAATTTTTGGGCACCATGGATATGATTGACGACCACAGCAAGAGACTCCCCGATGATACTGGCTGCGAATGGTGGTTTGCATTGGCCCACGATAGCTGCACTTGGCAGGCCTTAGACAAGTTTGTACGATACGCCGTCGACCAGCAAAGCACGGACGACGCGAACTCAGACACCCGGCCCGTCCGCCAAGACGTAAAGTCCAACCAGAGCGAGCTGGACATGCACACCAGTTCCAAGCTTTCGACCTCCACCTTCCGACCCCCAACTCTCCCGTCCACATCCCGACTTCCAGCATGCGGCATTTGATTTTTCACGTCCACCTCCGCCTATCGACCACCAGCTTCTTCCAGCTCACCACTCCCGCCTCCAGCTTTCAGCATTCCGACTTCCACTTCCACCTCCGCCCGTCGACCTCCAGCGCCCAGCAGCGCGGCATTCCGACCTCCACCCTCCAGCAGCATGTGACTTTCCACCTCAACCTCCACCCATCGACCTCCAGCGTCCAGCAGCGCAGCACTCCGACCTACACCCTCCAGCATCCGACTCCCCATCTCCACTTCCACCTGCCGACCGCCCAGCACTCCGACTCCAGCATCCAGCTTCCGACTCTCCACTTCCACTTGCACCACTTGACTTCCAGCGTCCACCAGTTCATAACTCAGCACCCCGACTTCGGCAAACAAGGATTACAAGCACTGAGGGCCCCGGCCCCCCCGCGCAGGCCCTAAAGGGCCCCGCTCCCGGCGGAACCGCGCGCTCGCCTCGCCTCGCCTCGCCTCGCCTACTCCCGTCATCATCATCGTCATCGTCATCGTCGTCGTCATCATCATTGTCCTCATCATCGTCACAATCATCGCCATCAGCTTCGGCATCAGCTTCGGCACGCCCCGCGCTCGCTTCGTGGCCCCGTAGGGAGCTCCACCGAAGGCCCCAGTGCTGCCGGCCGCATGCGTCCCGCGCACCCAATTCGGCACCCCCCCCACACGGTCCGTAACCCCATAGGGAGCTCCACCGAAGGCCCCAGTGCTGCCGGCCGCATGCGTCCCGCACACCCATGTCGGCACACCCCTCATACGTTTCGTGGCTCCATGGGGAGCTCCACCGAAGGCCCCAGTGCCGCTGGCCGCATGCGTCCCGCACACCCAATTCGGCGCACCCCTCACACGTTTCGTGGCCCCGTAAGAAGCTTCACCGAAGGCCCCAGTGCTGCCGGCCGCATGCGTTCCGCACGCCTAATTCGGCACACCCTTCACGCGTTTCGTGGCCCCATAGGGAGCTCCACCGAAGGCCCCAGTGCTGCCGGCCGCATGCATCCCGCACACGCATTTCGGCACACCCCTCATACGTTTCGTGGCCCCATAAGGAGCTCCACCGAATGCCCCAGTGCCGCCGCCCGCATGCGTCCTGCACATCCAATTCGGCACACCCCTCACACGTTTCGTGGCCCCATACGGATCTCCACCGAAGGCCCCAGTGCCGCTGGCCGCATGCGTCCCGCACGCCCAATTCGGCACACTCCTCACACGTTTCGCGGCCCCATAGGGAGCTCCACCGAAAACCCCAGTGCCGCTGCCCGCATGCGTCCCGCACATCCAAGTCGGCACACCCCTCACAGGTTTCGTGGCCCCATAGGGAGCTCCAACGAAAACCCCAGTGCCGCTGCCCGCATGCGTCCCGCACATCCAAGTCGGCACACCCCTCACAGGTTTCGTGGCCCCATAGGGAGCCTCACCGAAAGCCCCAGTGGCGGCGCTCATATGCGCATGCGTCCCGAACATCCAAGTCGGCACACCCCTCACAGGTTTCGTGGCCCCATAGGGAGCTCCACCGGAGGCCCCCGTGGCGGCGCTCACATGCGTCACCCACACCCACCCACTGCGGCACACCCTTCACACGTTTCGTGGCCCCCTAAGGAGTTCCACCGAAGGCCCCCCCACCACCCATCCCGGCACGCCCCTCACAGGTTTCGTGGCCCCATGAGGAGCCCCACTGAAGGCCCCAGTGGCACCGCCCGTATGCGTCACCCGCACCCAATTCGGGACACCCCTCACACGTTTCGTGGCCCCATGGGGAGCTCCACCGAAGGCCCCAGTGGCGGCGCTCACATGCGTTCCCGCCACACATCCCGGTACACCCCTCACGCGCTTCGTGGCCCCATAGGGAGCTCCACAGAAGGCCCCAGTGGCGGCGCTTACATGCGTCTCCGCCACCCATGCCGGCATCCCTCCCGCATGTTTCGGGACCCATAGGGAGCTCCACTGGAGGCCCCAGTGGCGGCCGTCACATGCGTTTTCGCCACCCATGTCGGCACACCCCGCACGTGTTTCATGGCCCCATAGGGAGCACTCCGTGAGCTCTCTGGGAGCAGACTTGGGGCACTCTTCGTGAC